ACTCAAATATATTTCAAAATAATTCAACATAATATGTGTGTATGTGTATATATATATATATATATTGTGTATGTGTGTGTGTGTTGAGCTCTCAACTTTTGTCTGGACTCCATATGATATTTGCTAGCTTGAAGAAGGAAAAATATGAACCACTATTCTAATGCAGTAGTATCCAAATATATTTCAAAATAATAATAATCAAAACAATATAAAAATGTTTTCTGTTTTTAGGAATGGTGGAAAGCAGCAGACATAATTGGAGTGGGTTGGATAAGCAAACTGATATTCAGAATTTAAATGAAGAGAGAATCTTAGCTTTACAGCTTTGTGGGTGGATAAAGAAAGGAACGGATATAGATGTGGGGCCATTTTTGAACTCCCTTGTACAAGAAGGGGAATGGGAGAGAGCTGCTGCAGTGGCATTGTTCAACTCGGATATTCGGCGAGCAATCCAAATCCTGAATGAAGGGGCATCTTCTGAAAAAGGTATTAGGCTGTATTCTAAGATACTGGCAGTTCATAGACTCCTTTAAAGAAAGGAAACTGATAATTTTCAAATATCTAATCACTGAATATTTTATGTAGATTTTTGTTGAAAGAGAAATTAGCAAACACTATAATAGTAAATAAATATTCGTTTTTTATTTGTGCCTTGGTTTAAGTCTAAAAAAGATGTGTGTTAAATGTCATTTTAGTACAAGGAGTACTCTAATGTGTCCATTTTTAATATCTTCTGTTTTAAAGATAGTTCACATACATTTTAAAAAATATATTTCCTTAAAGAGTAGTACTACTTTAGTTTACAAGCATTTTTATGACACACATTTGAGAATATTTTAGTTTATACTTTCTCCTTTAGATGGCTATTGGTTGACCTTGAGAAAACTCTGAATGACACTTTTATTTAGACTAATACAGACTCTTACAGAAAGCATACTTTGATCTGCAAAAATGCTTCTACTTGAGTTTGGTGATTAGAATTTTTTTTTTTAAAGAAAGAAATGTGACAAGTTTTTTAGGAGGATCCTCAGAGAAACAAATCTTATCCAAAATTTCAGGTTTTTTTCTTATCAGAAATATTTCACTTGAAAATAACCAAGATGTATATACCTATTGATTTTTAGTATACCTAACAAATGATTTCTGAATATTGAGAATGCTGAATTCTTACATGCTGGTCCATTTTCAAACAGTTATAATTCTGGTTGTGCCATAGAGAAAAGCATGAAATTAATATATTTCCTAAAAGTTGAAAAAGTTAATGTTTTGTTCCGATTGGCATCTTTTCCTTCACCTTTGCTCTAACAAAAG